TGGGTTGGCTCTAATACCACTTGTTAGAACTATTACCCTCTACTCAAAAAGTTAATCTAGCAGGATATACAGCATACATACTTATAATCTCAAAACCTTCTCTTTTCTTATTCGATATGTAATTGTCCCCGTAACACATTATCCCCCCCCCCCCCCCCCCCCCCCGGGCCGGAAAAAAAAAATTCTTTTTATTTTATTTTGAATAAGCTCAAGGTGTTTGTATGCTTAAACCTCCTCCTCCTTGTCTTTTTCCGAAGTGCCTAGGGATTTAATGTTCTGATGTTTCAAATGAGTTTAATACAGCCGGAATCCTGGTGGGCAGTCGGCACGTGGACACTTCTCAGATGGCGGATGCTTGAACTTCTTCTGGGTGTTGATTCTAGTGACAAAGCAGTCATAGTAGTAGAACCTGAAATAGACACAGAGATTTTTTTTTTTTTTTTTATTACACACACAGATATATGTATATATATATATATATTTTCAACGTAATATTTAAAAAAATTAATTAAACATCAAATATTTATTTGAATAAGTGTCTTAAAAGGAAATACTATTAAAGTATTTATTAACGCCGATTATTTTAAAATATTTTAAAAGTATTCTTTTTCTTTCCTCCCGTGAAGAAGTATGTCCGTTTTCTGATAATGGTAAGAATTGTCTCTAACAAAATTTAATCCATAACTCGTCTATGTAAAGTTGCTTTTGCTCTCCGCCCTCCCCTTCCGTCCCCTTCCCTCCCCCCTTCTCTCTCTCTCTCTCTCTGACACAAACACACACACACGCACGCAGGATGCACCAAAATATTTCCTTTAATAATTTTTAATAGAAAAATAAAACTTAACAACCGATTATCTTTATATTATTTTAAAAAATGAAAAAATCGAATTACAAGTTTCATTGGCAATCACGTAAGTGAGTTGATAATTTAAAAAATTACAAATGATTGTAACGTAGGTATGATTATTGAACGTTCCAAAATCTTTCGTTTAATAATTTTCAGTAAAAAGAAAAAATAACAACCGATGAAAATTAAAAAAACGAAGTACAGCTCGCGTCAGCAATCAAGTAACTTAGTTGGTAATTTAAAAATGTAATAAATAATTGCAAGGTAGGTGTGATTATTGAATGTTGGTGGCTCACTCCCCTATAAATATTATACTATATATATATATATATATATATAACAGTATCCATGAAGAAAAAACGAACACGGCTAACAAATACCAAAAAAAAATTAAATTATAAATTGGATCAAATAATAGAAGTTTTTAACACTTTATACTCTTAATTTTTTAATTTTGGTATTTAATATCTTAATTTTATCAAAAATATACTCTCATTATAAAATTAATAGGTAAAATTAAAAATTTATATAATTGGAGGATAAAAAGACAAAATACAAAGATTTAAATATCATTTTTGTCTACTTTCACTCTATTCAATATTTTCTCTATTTACTTTATATTTTTACTTATCTTTTTAATAATTTAAATCACAAATTATACGCCGAATATATCAAATTTTGTTTTATTTTGTTAGTTTTTACACAAATATAATGCGTGACATTGTATATTTTAAATATTATACGAGAACAAACTTTTAATTTGTTTATTTTTATTCGAGAATAAGACCGTAGAGAGAAGAGAAAATTTTAAATATTTTTAAATTCGTATTATTTTTTAATTTTTATGAATTTTTTTAAAATTTCTTAAATAAAAAGAATATATTTTTTAAAAACTATATTGGGAATAATTTTGAAAAATAATGTCAAACTTGATAATTTTTGAAAATAGAAAACAATCTTATAAAAGGACCTTGTCATTCTCTGCTCAAATAAACTGGTTGAAATTTAATGGATTATTAATTATTTAATTATGACTAAAAATTAAATCTATTATTAGTTATTTAATAATTAAACAAGTTGAAATTTAGCTTTTTTAATTATATATTTACTAAATTTACAATTTTTCTCTTTTTCTTTAACAAAATTAAACAAATTATATTTAAAATAAAAAAGATAAATAAAACAAAATTTGACACATTTGGATTAGAATTTATAAATTAATTAATGGAAGAAATGAGTGAAAATATAAAAAAGATTTTAATAATGTTAAATATAGTTGTGATAAAGAAAAATGAGATTTAATCTTTGTTTTTTGTCTTTTTACCCTCAAATGATACAAACTTTCAAATTTGTCCTTGTTTTCAAAGTAGGGGTGTACTTTTATAAAATTGAGGTGTTAAGTAAAAAAATTATAATATTAGAATGTAAAACCCTAAAATCCTTATTTTTAAGGCACAATATGCAAATTAGTCTAAAAAAACTAAGATGTATTTAGTCTTTTACTTTTTCTATTGTACTGTATTTAGTCCTTTTAACTTTAATTCCCACAAATGTATTCCTTTAATTTCAATTCGTGCCAAATATAATTTCATTAGTAATTTTATTCATATATTGTAGGATAGTATTAAATTAAAATTAAAATTTTATTTTTTATATTATAAATATTATATTAAATAGAATATATAAACAAATTTTATCAAAATAAAACCGAATAATTGTCACATGACATTGAAATTATATTTTAAAAAAGATTGTGAAACTATTTGATTCATCTAAAAGAATTATTCTTTATTCATAATTTTGTTTTTAAGTTACTTAATTCAATATAGAAAAACCAAAAAGTTTTTAAAAATTATAAAGCTCAGTTGATTAAGCATCTAATTTTACCAAATTTTTAAAGAGTTGCGTTTTTAGTTTGATTTTCCCCAGAAAAAATTCATTTGTAAATATAGAAAATATTTTTTCACAATTTCTTTCTTCTTACAATATGATAATTTTTAATATTAAAATAAAATATATAAATCATAAAATCCAAAATAAAAACTTTAAAAAGTAAAACTAGATTACCAAAAGTTCGATTTTGAGTTTTTTTAAATTTCAACTTTTCATATTTAAATAAGTATTTAATTTAAAAATTATAAATTAGATATAAAAAATTAACTTTTTTGACGAATCAAATGTAGTGAACAATTTTAATTTTATGCAGTAACAATTTGATATTATTTTCGTAAAATATTTATTTATTTAATGTCATTTAAATTAAATTAAGATCTTCAAATTAAAGTTATTTTAGTTTAGTTGGATTAAAATTAATATAAATGATCTTATTTGATATCAATTTAAAGTTGAAGGATCACATTATTCAAATTAAAATTAAGGAATACATTCAACAAATTACTCAAGTTAAGGACTGATAAAAGATTTAAGACGATATTTGACATCCATTTTTGAGTCAAAAAAATGAAAGGGGCCAAGTTCTTGTTTGATATCAACAGTTGGGAAAGAACGGAAAAGATTTGGGAGGATAGAATTATATGGGACCCGCACCATTTTCGTTCACTGGATTTGGGAGACCGGCAAAAACTGGATTTTGAGAGTGAAGGGGTAAGCAAAAGGGACTTGAAAGAGAAGGATGAGGACAGAAGCCAACGAGAGAGAGAGAGAGAGAGAGAGGATTGTTTTGACAAAGTGGATGGCAATTTGGAGTATTTGGTTTTATTTTAAAAATTAAATTTCATAATATAATATAAACTGAAAAAATTATAGAAAGTTAATTTTACGAAATGTTTGATTTTAGGATTAAATATATTTTTCATGTGAATTAAAAAATTTTGTACCTTTACAAAAAAATAAAATTTTAAAATTTACTATGAAAACCTTTTTTTTTTTTTTCCTTTTCCCCATACATCTGGTTTTATAAAATATATCAAAAATTATAAACAAATAAGTAGATATTTTTTTGAAATGACCCTGCAAAGAATATTCTTAAGTATTATTCTTAATTTACAACTGATCTTATTTTTAATTCATAAAAAGGGTAATAAAGTAATTTGATATTTATTTATATAAGTTTCAGTTTTTTCCTCAATAAAATTAAACATAAAAAGGGCAGTATTTCTTCTTTTTTATGGACTGATAACAGAGAAGATGGGTGATAATTCCTCCACTTCTCCCTTGCTTTGTTTTCTTCTCTTTTCTAATATATCCTTTCTTTTTCCTTCAGAAAAAACTTGCCCACTGTCCATACTTCACAGTTTTCTTCCTCGGTATTCTGTTCTTCACATTCTTTCTTTTTTTTTTTTTTGTTTTCTAATTTATTAATTTCATTTTCCATATTAATTTTTTTCAGTCATTTTTTAAATTTTTCTTCATTTAAAATAATAATTTGATGTTATAGTTATTCTTAAAATAAAGTTTTTGTTGAAGATATCAATTCATATTAAATTAATGAATTATCTAAATTTATATTAATCAAAATATCATAAATAATTTATTTTTATAATAATTAACAATAATAAAAATATATAAATATGAAAGGATAGCATCTAATACTAACTGAAGAAAAAAATAATATCTCATTACATATCAGTGTATGTAACATATAATGTAAAAACAAAATATATAAAAAATTTTCTAGAAAAATTTATTCATTAAAATATCAAATTATTATTTTGAATAAAGAAAAATATATAAAAAACAAGATTCATAAAAAATTAACATGAAAAATAAATAAATAATTTAAGAAAAAATATAAAAACTAAGAATAAAAGACACTAGAAAGGAAATATTTTCTGAGCTGGGACAGGTGGCAATTCATGAGACAGGACGGCAAGTTTTTTGCTCTCTTTTACCCTTCGGGGCACGAAACATAGCTTAACATTGAAGAAGTTGGACCAACTCCGACCTTGATGGTCTAGATAAACCGTGGGAAGGCCCCGCTCTCGTCGGCTATCTCGTCTCTGCTCTTCAGCTGATTCTATCTCCTCTCTCTGTCTCTATTAGCCCACGATGGCTTTACAACTTTGGGAGACGCTTAAAGAGGCGATCACGTTGTACACTGGTCTCTCTCCGGCGACCTTCTTTACGGGTGTTGCTTTGGCTCTGGCCATCTACTATTTGATGTCGACGCTTTTTCGATCATCTGATAATCACCATGAGAGGTCTAGAGCTTTTGAAGAGGAGGTGGAGCCCCTGCCGCCTCCCGTTCAGGTCGGAGAGATCACCGAAGAGGAATTGAAGGCCTACGATGGCACCGACCCGGAGAAGCCTCTGCTCATGGCAATCAAGGGTCAGATCTATGATGTTTCGCAGAGCAGGTATAACACTAGATTTTTTTCGGATTCTCCCCTTCTTTGGGTGCTTTTGATTTTGAGATTTAGAAATATGAATTTATGCTGTAAATGAACTGTGGAAAATTGCGTGTCAGCTGCTCGCATATATCTCCGACGGAAATAAGTGATTGGGTTTAATAGAATTATGGAATTCAGTTTCCGCTATCTTTCCTTTCTGCTCACCATCTTTCTTCTATGCTTTAATTTTTGTCTCTGTAACTTTTATCTCTGAAAGACACAACTTTCTCGAGTTGAAAGATTTTTTAAATGTTTTAGATTCTGTGTAGAATTCTGACTTCAAGAGCCAAATTTTGCATGCGTTTCTCTTCTTTTCTCCTCTATTTATCATATTTTTCTTAAATAAAATTAATTTGACTGTCATATTTTTGGGGATCCTCACCCCCTTGAATCTTGATAGATTATTTTTGGTTCTAGGTTAATCTCCTTTGGTGGGTTCTTGTATATGATTAAACAGGTTGCTGATATTTATTTATTTTTTTATGACAATACAGGTTGCTGAATCGGTCAGCAAGGAAAAAAACTAATATTCTTGCATCCATTCAAATTCAAGTCTATTGTTAATAATATACTCTTTCCATACTTGATAGCTAGCTATTGCTGTCTTATTATGTAAATACCTTCAGTACTTGCCTGCTTATCATTTACAAAATCATATTCCATTCTCATTACTTTCATTTTCCATAGTTAGGAATTATAGGAACTGTTTTGGGCTTTAATTGGTATTTATTTTCCATAGTTATAATAAATTGGTATTTATCCCAAGCTCTGTATTATTTGCCTGTCTGCATTAAAAAGTATACATAGAACTGTTTGGATAATCAGTAATCCCTTATGATTCTGTTAATCCCTGCAACTTTTGTTCTCATCTGCTAAATCAGCTTTCCCTTATGATTCTGTTAATTCCAGTAATTTTTGTCCTCATCTACTACAGGTTTCTTGTCTGACTGGACTGACAGTTGCGTTACTTGATTTTATCTCCAATTATTTAGTCCAGCTTTTTGCAACTGAATGTCTGTGAAAGGACTTCAAAAGAACAAAATTCTTTGCTGAAGAAGGCCATCAAAGGAAGTCAAAAATTGACCAATGTAGAATTCTAACTTTAATCACCAAGCCTCTGCATGTATATGTGTGTGTGTGTGTGTGCGTGCGTGAAGAAGGAACATTACACTCGAAAAGGACCTAGGAAAGGCGTTTGAAATGCTACCTTCATCTTCTTGTATTTGACTTGACATTTATTTCTATTCATTTTCTTTGTGTAAATTTAATTTCTAAACATGAATATTTCTGTAAAAGTTGCATATTAGTTTGAAAAATTGCAGCTACTACTTGCTTGGGTAAATTTTTGTACCAATGTTAGTACATAAAGAGTACATATAAAGGCAACAAGTTGAAGGCTACCGCTGCTCGAGTGGATAAGTTATTTACACATACAGATAGCACACAACAAATATATGATTGATCCAAGTGACAAGTGTAGGTGTAAGACCGAATCTTGGGGAAATATATGTAATTTATATTCGCAAGATTTCAAAATTTCCACTTTCATTTTATTTTTCCTTTTGGTTAAAGGTGAAGACTGGAATGATGAAATGTTGGTTCAGAATTTATCTTAGCCTTCTACCAAAATAAAAGAAATTAAGATCATTTTGGCTCATGTGCCTGTAATAAAAAAGTAAATAAACAAATAAAAGTAAAAGGAAAAGTAAAACCTTCTTACCTTTTTTCACCTTATGATTGCTCTGTAGAACAGCTATGCGTGTTTAGATATACAAGTTTTATGTCAATGCGAGTGCTGGGAACTTCTGCTAGTCTATATGCAAACCATTGTCATTAGCAAGATGCGTTATTTGATCAGTAGTCCCATACTAGAACTGCCTGTTTGAGAGTATTTAAACTCTTCCATTTTTGCAGGGGGTTTTATGGACCTGGTGGCCCTTATGCTTTGTTTGCTGGAAAGGATGCTAGTAGAGCTTTAGCAAAGTTGTCCTTTGAAGAGAAAGACCTGACGGGGGATATATCTGGTCTTGGTCCATTTGAGCTTGATGCATTACAGGATTGGGAATACAAGTTCATGACCAAGTATGTGAAGGTTGGAACGGTCAAGAAGACAGTACCTGTAACTGAAGGGTCATCAACTGGCGAGCCTGCTGAGGGCACTGATCATAGCGTGGAGAAGCGTGCAGAAAATGGCTCAGCCGAGAGTCATGCAGAAAATGGAACCACTGAAAATGCTGAGAAAGAATGATCTTGCCAATGTGTATCAATTAAGCAGCTAGAGTGTGCAAGGAGATAGTGATATTGGTTCCTGTGATTCATACATGTTATTTTAAACTAAAGTTTATTTTCCCGTTCTAGAATTTTTTCTGATTAGACACATGCTATGCGTAGATTGTCAAGTGAATAATGCAACTATCATGCCTTCTGGTATGTGGATGCAAGCACTAGATGGAACCCAAGCTCAGTTAATTAAATGAATTTAAGATTTGAAATTTTTGGTCTAAATTAGTGATTATTTGCTTCTTGGGTTTGATGAACACTCTGACTTGCCCTTATCGGGATAGAAATTGTCGCATCCTTTGATGATAAAACGCGAAGCAGAATCCTATTTGTTACTTCTATACCATTATTCGGTGGTTGGATAACCCTCTCGGCTGAACCAAGACCTGCCCGTTGTTTAATTTTTGTTTCGTTCTTGTGAAAACTTTGGTTAGTTAAACCTTAGTCATTACCATTAATTGAACTTGTAGCATGTTCTAAGTAGCTTTTCTGGTTGATCTTTTTGATGGAATTTGCAACGAGTATCTATGAGTAATTCATAACCAATAATTATGCATAATCTAAAATGTACAAAATAATCACACGAGTCACAACAATTTTAACGTGAAAAACTCTTTTAACGTGAAGGATAAAAACCACCGAATCTCTCTCCGGTCCAAGAAAAAACTCCACTATCAAAATATTAATGTTAACAATAATTACAATCTACCACAAGTAATCCACAATCAAAATCTCAATCACACTTAAAAAATATTTTAGAGATAATAAACTTATGGAAAGATATCACCAAGGACAGTTGCTGTCTATACAATCTGAACACTTTCTGGTTATTCAAATGCAATCTCCATCGTTCAAATCTAAGAACGATGAGTCCACAATGTGCTCTTCAAAAATCAGATCAATCGGACCACAAATAGCTTTCCTATCTGCAAAAATGATGAAACTGGTTTTCTGACAGATCAACCTAAAAATAGATTGCGTTCAAGCAGTCTAAACCTAATGATTCCAACCACCAAATTAGATCTCCACTGTTTAAAATCAAGAACCACAAGTGAAGAATACCCACTCCAAATTTGAGCTCGATCTAATGGTGAACGAACTCGCAAATGACAAAAGAGTGAATTGAATGCAGAAAAATATTCAAAAGAAATCTAGAAAACAACATTTGTAAATTATCCAAAACTTGATGATTCCAATGTCAAAACAAGATCTTCACCGTTTAGATTGAAGAGCAAAGGATGGAGAACATCCAGTCCAAATTTGAGCTCGATCCAATAGTGAATGAACTCACAAATGCAGAAACAATGAGCTGAATGCTTGAAGAAAAAAAATTTCTTCTCTCTTCCTTAGTGAGCGACGCCTCCTTCTCTTTTTTCCTAAAACAAAACAACACAATATATATATATATATATGTCAAAGGGTTTGAAATCCTAGTGGGATCCACAAAATTTTTTTATTCACATAGGAAGGAACCCAACAATTCTCCCCCTCCCGACTATGTGGAGGAATGTCCTAAACCAGCAATCAAACGACATGTCTCAAACTTAGTTCTTGGAAGAATTTTTATGAACATATCAGAACCATTGTCATCAGTATGTATCTTTTCAAGTTCAAGCAACTTGGAATCCAAAACATCTCGAATCTAATGATATCTCACATCAATGTGTTTGGATCTACCATGAAAAGTAGGATTCTTACCAAAATGAATTGCATTCTGACTATCACAGTATGAGACATACCATTGTTGAGTGAATCCAAGTTCATTCACAAATTTGTTCATTCAAAGTAACTCCTTACAAGTTTTATTAGCTACAATAAACTCAGCCTATGTGGTGGACAATGCAATACATTTTTGTAATTTAGATTGTTATGCCACTACTCCCTCTACAAAGATAATCAAATACCCAGAAGTAGATTTTATAGAATCAATATCCCTTGCCAAATTAGAATCTGTATAACCAGTGAGAACAGGTTTGTCAATTCCAAAACACAACTTCAAATCAGAAGTACCACGGAGATATCTTAAAATTCATTTTACTGCATTCCAATGCTTCTTTCCTGGATTAGATAGAAATCTACTTATTGTACCAACTGCATGGGTTATATCTAGCTTAGTACAAACCATAACATACATCAAACTCCCTACCGCAGATGCATAAGGAGTTCTTTGCATATTTGCTTTTTCTTGCTCACTAGAAGGTGACTGTTTGACACTCAATTTAAAAGATGTGTTAAGAGGAGTACTTACAACTTTATCATTTTCCATATTAAACTGCTGTAATACCTTCTCAATGTATTGCTTTTGAGACAACCACAGTTTCTTGCATTTTCTATCACGAATGATCTTCATACCAAGAATATACTTTGCTAATCCTAAATCTTTCATTGTAAAAGATTTGCTCAACTCTTTCTTCAAACTATCAATCTTGGAAGAGTCAGGACTTACAATGAGCATGTCATCAACATATAACAATAAAATGATAAAGTCATTATTAGAGAATTTTTGCACAAAAATACAATGATTAGAAGTAGTCTTCTTATACTCTTGTTGTACCATAACTGACTCAAACTTCTTGTACCACTGTTTGGGTGCTTATTTTAAACCATACAAGCTCTTTTTCAATTTGCAAATAGAATTTTCTTTTTCCTTTACCACAAAACCTTTAGGTTGTTCAATGTAAATTTTCTCCTCAAAGTCACCTTGGAAGAAAGCTGTTCTCACATCTATTTGTTCAACTTCTAAATCAAGGCTTGCAACTAAGCTCAAAATAACTCGAATGGCTGACATTTTAACAACTAGTGAAAAAATTTCATCAAAATCAATTCCCTTTTTCTAACTAAAACCTTTAATAACTAACTTGGCTTTATATCGTAGAGATGAGAAATTTTCTTCACGCTTCACGCTATAAACCCACATGTTCTTTATGACTTTTCTGTCTTTAGGAAGCTTAACTAGTTCAAAGGTATGATTATCAAGCAAAGACTACATTTCATCCTTCATGGCTGTAACCCATTCTATCTTATGCTCACTTTCAATAGCCTCTTGAAAACATTCAAGTTCTTCTCCATCTGTCAATAATACATACTCATTAGGAGGATATCTAGAAGAAAGTTTGCGATTTCTCGTAGATCTCCGCAATGGAGCTTCATAGTGCTCAACATGTGTCTCTTGTTGGTTATCAACTATTTCATGTACAGGAGCATCTACCTCATCTGCAACTTTATGCTCATCCTCAGCTTGATCATTCTGAGTATCATTTTACACAGTGACTGGATCCTGAACCTCAACATCATTGGGCACAATTATTGTAGGAGTTAAATCTAAGTCAATCAAACTATCATCTTGAGTCTTTGACTTCTTTGTCTTGTCAATATCTTCAATAGTCTGATCTTCTACAAAGATCATATCATGCTTCTGACAACTTTCTTTTCAATTATATCATAACACCTTTAACCAAATTTATCTTGCCCATATCTAATAAAGATATATTGTCTTGTCTTAGCATCTAATTTAGACTTTTCATCTTTAGGAATATGCACAAAACATTTGCAGCCAAATATTCGTAAGTGGTCATAAGAAACATTCTTACCATACCACACTCTGTCAGGAACATCAGCATTCAATGCAACAGTGGGAGTTAGATTGATTAGATGTGCAATAGTGTACAAGGCCTCATCCCAAAAAGGTCTAGGCAGTTTTGTATATGAAAGAACACGTCTAACTCTCTTCACCAATGTTCTAGTCATTCTTTCTGTCAAGCCATTTAACTGAGGAGTCTTAAGAGGTGTTTTCTAATGTCTGATACATTGTTCTTGACAATATGCATCAAAAAGCCCACAGTATTCACCACTATTATCTGTACAAATACATTTCAACTTCTTTCCTGTTTTTCTTTCAGCAAAAGCTTGAAATTGTTTAAATGCATCAAGTACTTGATCCTTTGATTTCAAAACACGAACTCATAGTTTCCTAGAGTGGTCATCAATAAATGTCACAAAATAAAGTGCATCATTAAATGACTTTACCTTCAAAGGACCACAAACATTTGAATGTACCAGTTCAAGTAAGTCATTTTTCCTAGAAGGAGGATGGTGCTTGAAAGAAACCCTTTTCTATTTTCCAATCAAGCAATGCTCACATTTGTCTAATTTTGCACCTTTCAACTCTGAAAGCAAATTCTTCTTAGCTAGACAATTAAGCCCTTTCTCACTAATTTGACTTAACCTCTTGTCCTATAATTCAGAAGAGTAATCACTTGAAATTGTATTTACAAGATTGTTAGAGATTGAAGCTTGCAACTACTACAAACTTGAAGATTTCTTCTCTTTAGCCACAACTAAAGAACCTTTACCGAGTTTCATTTGCCCACAATTAAAAGTGCTGCAATAACCATCATCATCAAGCTCATTAACAGAAATCACATGTAATTGAATATCAAGTGCATGTTTATCATCCTTAAGAACTAATTTTGTCCCATTGTTAGTTTCTAAATAAACAGTTCCAGTGCCCACCACCTTTGATAGTCCATCATTACCTATCTTTAAGATCCTAAAATCACTTAGAGTATAAGATGTAAAGAATTCCTTTCTTGATGTAATATGAAAGGAAGCACCATTATCAACTACCCAATTTGTTTTATTACTAGCAATATTAATCATATCTTTATCACAAACAATAATAAGATCACCTGTAGTAATGGCGTTAACATAGTCATCATTATCATCGTTGCCTTTCTTTTCTTACTTGCCTTTATAAGCTTTATTCTCCTTTTTCCACTTAAAACAATATTTTTTGATGTGCCCTGTTTTACCACAATAATGACATTAAAGATTTTTATACCTTGACCTTGATTTGCTTCTACTTTTACCTTTGTTATGCTGACATTGACCCTTGTTTTTACTTCTCACCCTATTTTCAGTAACCAACACCTCTGATTGCAATGAGGAATCTTGAGACTTCCTTCTCAT